TGTTTCTTATTTGTTGAGGACCAGGAAGTTTAAAGAGCTGATGAGAACCAGGCACAGGTCCCAGTCAGAGAGGCAAGGGCAACTTTTAAGGCCCAGGCTGCAGTGGGCTTCACCTGCCAGTCAGTCCACATCCCTTAAAGGCTTAAAACCAATGTCACAAGCTAGGGCCTAAGTTCAAACCCTGAGCCTATCACAGAGAACATTTCTGACTTGAACATAAAGCCATTTCTGGAACTCCTGATCTTCTTGCCTCCCATTTGCTAAGTACTGGAATTACAGCATGAGTCATCATGCCAGGCTGAGGCCCTGGGTTTGATCTTATCATGGCAACCACGGAACAGTAGCTTCCTCCAAGTGTGTGTGTGTGTGTTGTGTGTGTGTGTGTGTGTGTGTGTGTGTGTGTGTATGCTTTAAAAACTGGCTATTTATTTATTTGGCTTGAGTGTTCTGCCTACATGTATACTGTATGCCAAAAGAAAGTCCTGGAAACCCTTGAACTGAATTTAAGGACCCTTCATGTAGGTGCTGGGAACCTACTCTGGATCTTCCGCAAGAACAGCAAGTGCTCTTAACCATTGAGCCATCTCTCCTCTCTGGACCTGTTTTGTTTGAAACAGGGTCTCAGATAGGCTGAGCTGGCCTTTAAAGTGTTTTACAGCAAAGGATGACCTTGAACTCCTAATCCAATTGCCTCAGTTTCCTAAGTGTTCATATTACAGACAGGAGCTATAATGTTAGGCCAAAGTCCAGGTCTTGAGCCCTAGCATTGCAATAAGCAAACAACAGAACAATGGCTTCCTGAATTTAAAAATATTTAATGTTATTACTATTGTGTGTTAATATATGTGATGTGTGCATGTATTGTGTACGTGTAAGGTGGAGCATGCATGCCACTGTGTGTGTGTGTGTGTGTGTGTGTGTGTGTGTGTGTGTGTGTGTCTCTGTGTGTGGAAAGTTAGAGGACAAATTTTGGAGTCAGTTCTCTTTCTACTTTTTTGTTTGTTTGTTTTTTGAGACAGGGTTTCCCTGTAGCTATGTCTCTTTCTACTTTTATATGGGTTCTAGTGATTGAACCTAGATTGTCAGTTTTGGCAGCAAATACTTTTATTCACTGAGCCCTCTCAATGGCCCAACTTTTTTTAAAATTTTAGCCAACCAGATGTTTATGTACTTGTTGTGAGTTAGCTTCCTAATCTCCCAATGACTACTCATGTAAAGACATTTGCATGTTTTTATTGGCCATAAATATACTGACGTTACTTTATTAGACTATTTTATCTTTATTGAGTACCAGGAGTTCTGTTTGGTTTTGACTTTATAAGCTCTATTTATTTTTATAGTCCTACAGACATTTTTATTTTTTTTCAATATTGAGGTAGTATCTCCCAAGGTTACCTAGGATGACTTTGAACTTGTGAGATATATATATCGGATTGGCCTCAAACTTGCAATTCTCCTCCTCCAGCCCAAGTAGTTAGGGTTATGGGACTGTGTTATCAAGGCTGCCTTTCCTTCCTTCCTTTCTTTTCCTTCCTTCCTCCCTCCCTCCACCTTCTCTCTCAATTTCTTTACAACCCCCCCCCCACCAACAGGGTTTCTCTGTGTATACCTAGCTGTCTTAGAACTCACTTGGTACACTAGGCTGACCTTGAACTCAGAAATCCACCTGCCTCTGCCTCCTGAGTACTGGAATTTAAGGCATGCACCACCATACCCAGCTTAATTTTATTTTTAATTTTTGTTTGCATATGTTTCTGTGTGTGGGAAATGTGTGCCTGAGATCAGTTGCCTTTGGAGGCCAGAAGAGAGTATCAGATCCCCTGGAGCTGGGGTTTCAGTTGTGAACTGCCATCTGTAGTTGCTGGGAACAGAAAAACACCAAGAGCAAGCACTTTACCACTGAATCATCTCTCCAGCCTTCTCTGGTGACCTAAGGTAGCCACAGACTCAGTATATTTTTGCCTTAGCCTCACCAGGGTTGGGATTATGGGGTACACTATCATGCCCAGCTAGGACCTCTTCACAGGACACAAATACTAGTCTTTTGTTAGATATGTTTTTTGTGAATATTTTCTCCCAGTCTTGATACATCTTTTTTCCATTTATTTTTATTTATTTACATATGTATTTGAGTGAATGCCATGTGTACATGTTTGTGCAGGTGGACAGGTCTTTGAGCACAAAGAGATCAGGAGAAGGCATCGGATACCCAGGAACCAGAGTTGCAGGTGTTTTGCCAGATGGCTGGTTTCTTGTGCAGCTGCCGTGATCAAAACCCTGGTCCTCATGACTGTACTGATAGTGTTCTTAACCGATGAGCCGTCTCTCCAGCCCCTGATCTTGAGATATCTTTTTTTGTTTAAAGATTTACTTATTTATTATGTATACAGTGTTCTGTCTGCATGTATCCCTACAGGCCAGAAGAGGGCACCAGATCTCATTACAGATGGTTGTGAGGCATCAGGTGGTGGCTGGGAATTGAACACAGGATCTCTGGAAGACCAGCTAGTGTTTTAAACCAGTGAGCCGTCTCTCCAGCCTTTGGTCTTGAGATATCTTTATTCATTTTCTTAAACATGCCTTTTCATGATCACTAGCTATCACTGCTCTTTACAGCAGTAGTGGTGGGAAAAGTGTTAAGCCATGCATAGGCCCCTGTCATCAATTCTGCCCGATCAAATCATCCAGGAAACTATTTGCATTCTGTGTCTTTTGTCTTTGTCATAACCTGTTCACTATGATTAGGCTTGTTAAGTTAAACATTCACAGTTGGTCCAGTTACTCAGATCTGACCACCATAATTAAACGGTGTTGATGTACCAGTGTTATGTACATTACACTAATAAATTGCCAACCTGTTTACACTCGTTTAAAGTTGACTCTGTGAGCCCTCCCTTGTCTCCACCAAAACTCCCTGTCCTGAGTCAGGCTGGTCTCTCAACTGTGTGAAGGTGTAGAAGAGAAAAACACAAACACCTAAGAGAAATTACAAACATTGCATCAGGCTAGAGAGAGGGCTCAAAGATTAAGAGCAAAAGTTGCTCTTGCAGAGGACCTGGGATTGATACCTAGTACCCATGTTAGGGAGCTTAGAACTGCCTATAGCTCCAGTCCTGCAAGATCCACCACCTCTAGCCTTCATACGCACATACCTACACACAATCACAACCATAGCTAAAAAAATATTTTTAAAGAATTTGTGTGGCTGAGAACAGCTACAAGGTAAAGTGTTTCCAACAGATGTTACTGTTGTTTATTTCATCTACAGTGGGAAAAGAGGCCTACAGCACATCCATGGCGAGTTCAGTGGCAAAGTCCGGCTGTCCCTACTTGACTTCTGCTGGGTGCTGTGAACACACAATCATGATTGTTTGTTCTCCCAGTTGGGCCGCTCCAGTAACCTCTGCCAGGTGTTCTGAACACCCAATTTGATGAAGTTTTCTCCTTTATCTGCTGCTTCTGTCTGATACTTGCTATTTGTTCTTTTACTTTTGCTTGCTTTATACTTAATAAACATACTCATTCAAACCCAAAGTATGGCTATTACAGATCATTTTCTGGACTGTGCAGAACACTCATGAACTTCTGTGGCCTGGCTCTGCAAGTTTTGAGGACACAAATTCAAACGTGGTTACAATGCTGGGCATCAATTTCATCGTAAGGACAAGGGTTGGGGAAAGCATCTTCCACAGCAGTCTTGTGGTCAGATGTACTTAATTAGCTTATGCTTATTTTCAGTGAATATCTAATGATCTTTTGTCAAAGGATTCTTTTTGCTCCTTGCACCTGGGGATCAAACTTTGTTTGTTAGGCTTAGCATCAAGCACCTTTACCCTCTGAGCTATTTTTCTGGCCCTTAGTCAAAGGATCTCCAATTGAGTAGCTCAGGTCTGCCGTGGTGGCATTTTTAATCCCAGTATTCAGGAGGTAGAGGCAGATGGATATCTATGCATTCCAGGCTATCTGGTCTGAGTAAAAGACACTCTGGATTCAATGATTCACAGCACAAACACCTTAACTTTCATAACAGCCAGCTTCAGTAGGCCCTATTGCAAGCCATGTTTTTTTTTTTTTTTTTTTTTTTTTTTTTTCAAAGGGGGGGGAATAC